TAGCCAGCGGCAAACGAGCTACCCTTATCCAGTTTTACGCCCGCCGCTGCCGCCTCTGCCGGTCGCTCAGCCAGCTCACCGCTGAGCTGGCGCGACGCAACGCTGACTGGCTCAACGTGGTGCCTGCTGACGTGGAGAACAGCCGATGGTTGCCTGAGGTAAGGGGGTTTAGGGGTTTGAAGGGTTGAATGTGGTTGGGTCGAAGAGAATTAGAGAGTCTAGATTCCATGAGATGTGTATGGAGGGTTTGGAGTATGGATGGAAGAACCTTTTGCCTTCTATCTCTACTAGTGGTTTTTCTATTCTTGGTAAATTGGTTAACACCCCCTTCTCTGTACTGCTTTGCGCTGATCAGGTGGGGCACTACAGCATCAAGTATGTGCCGTTCTACGTGCTGCTAGACGCACGGGGGAGAGCCTTTTCCACAGGCTTCAATTGTGTTCCATCCCCTGTATAAACCTCCCCTTTTGCACCCACAGGTGGGGCACTACAGCATCAAGTATGTGTCGTGCTACGTGCTGCTGGACGCGCTAGGGAGAGCCTCTCATGCCTTTTTTCCTTTATGAATTATCACACTATAACCCTTTCTGTTCACAGGTGGGGCACTAGAGCATCAAGTACGTGCCGTGCTACGTGCTGCTGGACGCGCGAGGGAGAGCCTTCTGTACAATCGTCATTTTCCTTCCATCCCCTTTATGATCTGCCCCCTTTGCACTCATAGGTGGGGCACTACAGCATCAAGTACGTGCCGTGCTACGTGCTGCTGGACGGGCGGGGGAGGGCCCTGGCGAAGACAGGCGAGCCATACAGCCGCAAGCATGTGGTGAAGGGTCTGGCTTACCTGGTGGAGAGCATTCGGCCCTACCGGCGGCGCCCTGCTGTTGGAGAGGGGGGTGACGGAAAGGAGAAGCAGCAGGAGGAGCAGGGGCAGGAGCAGCAGCAGGAGCAGCAGCAGAAGCAGTAGTGGTAGTAGTAGCAAGCAGCAGCAGCAGCAGCAGCAGCAGCAGCAGCAGCAGAGGCGAAGACAGGCGAGCCGTACAGCCGCAAGCACATGGTGAAGGGGCTGGCTTCCCTGGTGGAGAGCATTCGGCCGTACCGGCGGCGCCCTTCAGTGGGACAGCAGGGAAACAGTAAGGACCAGCTGCAGCAGCAGGAGGAGAAGCAGGAGCAGGAGCAACGGCAGCAGCAGCAGTAGTAGGAGGAACAGGAACGCAGTAGTGGTAGCAGCAGCAACAGCACCCGCAGCAGCAGCAGCAGGAGCAGCAGAGGCCGAGACAGGCGAGCCATACAGCCGCAAGCACGTGTTGAAGCAGGAGAAGCAGGAGAAGCAGGAACAGTAGCAGGAGGAGAAGCAGCAGCAGCAGCAGCAGCAGGGGCAAGAGCAGCGGCAGCAGCAGCAGCAGCAGCAGCAGCAGCAGCATTAGTAGTGGTACCAGGCACGTGGTGAAGGGTCTGGCTTACCTGGTGAAGAGCTCCTGTGGAATTGATGTTGCTACTGAAATAGGTTATCTGTAATGTGAATGCAATGCTTAGTTGCTGCTAGGTACTTTCTATTCCTCTATCATGTAGCTTGTGCTGGCATCAAATGTAAAAGCAGATTGAACCATGGGAAGAGAGCAGACAGAGTTACGGTATGTCAGCTGAGAAAATTCGCATTCTTCTTACGATTAATTATAATTTTTGAAAGTGTATTCACTTTCTAAAATTTTGTATTGTGATAGTGAAGCGATTGCCAACGCAGCAAAGGCAGCGTCGCATCGCTACTCGCCCTCTTTTGGCTACAAAAGAGGGGTTGGAGGCCATTTGGCCTCACCCACGTTCTTCTTTTCAGATTTTTAGTTTGAGTTCCCCACCCTCCCACCCTATGTAGTGAAATTGTATGTTGTAGACCTTTGGACGAGATTGATGTACTCTTACCCAGATGAAATGAAGCACGATGCCTATTACAAGTTGCAATAAGCAAGCTTTCACAATTTCCTTTTTTGTTATAACGAGGGAGTACAATACAAGCAATTGTTAATAACCTAGCGATATTAAGCCCTAATCGCTTCCAACCTAAATACATACCACACCACCACACCTCTGGCTCCTCACCTTCCTCCACCATACCCTTCCCTCGTGGCTTCGTCTCGCCTTCCTTGCACCTTTCTCTCTCGTGCTCTCTCCCGCCGTCCTCTACGCTTTAGGCCCCGTTCGGCAGGCATTATGGCCATTATGGGCCCTGTTCGGCTGGCGTTAAAAAGGCATTTATATCAGGCTCGGGGACTGGCTACAGTGAAACGATAAGCGAGCAGTTGGTTATCAAGGTTCGAGATAGGCGGTTTTATGTCGAACCTGAGAGCATTAAAATGCCTGCCGAACAACCTTTTTAACACCTGCGTTTTTCGCCATACGATGATTCCAGGAAGCCGGTTCCCCTGGCAAAGTGGCGCACCACTGATCCGCTGCATGGTGCTCGGACGAGAGCTTACACCGTGCGGGGGATCAGTGATGCGGCCAATGATATGCGACTGGTCGAACATGCTGGCCAATCAGATGATTGTTCGAAGGTGCCATTTGTCTTCGACCTGACTTCCTCGAACTTTACACCCCTTATGCGCCATCACGTTTAACCCCCACAATGCCAGCCGAACAGGGCAACCTTTTTTTCCGAAGGTGCACTGCATGCGGCGCCTGACTTCGAGGATTTTTCGAGCTGGCGTTTTTTCGAGGCTGGTTAAAAATGCTCTAACGCCCATAACGCCAGCCGAACTGGGCCATGGCCATTATGGGCATTTTTAACGGGCCCCCAAAAAATGCCGCTTGGGCATTTTCTGGGCCCAGTTCGGCAGGCATTAAAAAAACGGTTTCCCCGGTTAGGCTACAGTAAACCGACCACCCTGGAACCTTCTTTGATAAGCGCGTGAAAGGTTATCTAGGCTCGATATAAGCGGATCATCGCCGAACCAGACAATAATGGAATGCCAGCCGAACACCCCCTTTGACGCTGGCATTTTCTACCAGAGGAATCTTCCTCGAACCCTATTTCCCAGGCAAATGGTCCATTTTCTGATATGCCGCACCATACTGCCTCGAGACCCCCCCCCACACGGGGTATCAGTGATTCGGGGCAATCACATATTGCCCTGACAAAAACAAATCCCGGTCTTTCATGCCCCTCATTTTGCCCGCTGGGAAATCGCACATCACCAACACACCTTCACTAACACATCGAACGCACAGATTCTCTTGCCCGATTTTTTTCGACGTCCACCACTGGTTTGCATGGCTGCCCGTGCTGCCAGTACAGTGATTCTGAGCTCCATCAGCGCAGCTGCATGCGAGCTTCTGCGAAGTGTCATTTTCGGTTGATGCCGTTAATCCAGGCCCATTTAATGCCAACCGAACAGTCGGGCCCATTCTTCCGAAGTTAAACTGCAGCTACAGTCTGACTTCGCAGCTGTTTCGAGGGGCCATTTTTTGGGGGCCCGTTAAAAATGCCCAAAATGGCCATAATGGCCATAATACCTGCCGAACTGGGCCCTGGAAACAGCTTCTAAATCGGACAGTAGCTGGGGCGCACCTTCAAAAAAAGGGTTGACTGTTCGGTTGGCATCAATCGAAATTTTGGTTTCGCGGAATATGATAGGCAGTTTCTCAGATGGATCGCGTGATCATGTGATTGGCTAAGATATTTGACCAGACACTGTTTAATGCCCCGAATCACTGATACCCCGCATGGTGCGGGGCCTCGAGGCCGCATGGTGCGGCGGATAAAAAAAATGGGCACTTTGCCAGAGAAACTGGGTTCGTGGAAGCTTCAGGCGGGTGAAAACGCCTGCACAAAAAGGGCTGTTCGGGAGGCATTCCATTATTGTCAGGTTCGGCGTAGATCCGCTTATATCGAGCCTTGATAATCATTCACGCGCTTATCAAAAAAGGTTCCAGGGTGGTCGTTTCACTGTAGCCCACCCGCCGAGGCCATTTTTTTAATGCCTGCCGAACCGGGCCTTACTCTCGTTCTGTCATCGCCTCACACCTTGCTCTCGTGCTCTCACCTCGCCTTCCTCCACGCCCTACTCTCGTCCCGTGCTTTCATCAGATGTGTCTTGCGCTTGCGGCTGCAACGAAGAGCCATCGATTATTGCTCACCCATCCATAAGTGCTGCATTCGTGCAGCCACGTGGCGAGGAGCAGCGAAGCGAATGTTTTTGTTTAGCCATGCCGCAACGTGCGCCCCTTTGTTCACAGGATCTGTGCGATAAAACCTGAAGCTTCCCTTCCATGCGGTAAAGGCAAGGCGAACACGTCTCAAGAATCGAGAATGGCCGCAACGACGCGGATGTCTTTCAATTCCCACCGCTTGATGAGTTTTTGCACCTTGGGCCGTTTTTATGTCCGGCACGGCTGCTATCGTCTTCATTACTTCCCATCACTCCTATTTGTTCCAAAGCTCTCAGAGCTGTCGACAAGGTTTGTCGCGCGCTGGTCTCCTAATCTTCTCGCTGCTCTCACTTGGCGGTTGTGGCGAAGGCCAAGTCTGGGTGGTGAGTGCTGCCCACCCCACCACCCACCACCCACCACTAACTGCTCAAGTTGTTCCCGCATTTCTTTTTCTTCCCCATTGTCTTCTATCCCCCTTCCATTTTTTCACTCACCTCGCTCGCTCGTGCCTTCGCTTCGTCCAGGTGTCAAGCTGAGGTGAAATCTCCTTGCGCTGTCATCTTCATACCTTTAGTACACATCGAGTCCAAGAAACCAACTTCAGACACGACACTCTGTGAGTCACCCTGTTACATAATATGCTCATACCATTCAACACGTTATTTGTGCTTCTCCTTACAGATTCTTTGAGATATATTTCCACTTCATGTGGCTGTTCATCGTACTTGGTACCTTGGTTTCTACTGCTTGCATATTGCTTCCTACCTTAGTGATCTGCATATTCGGTTCTCAAATTGTAGCAAGTGATCAGACTCTGATTTGACGCTCATTTCATCATCTGATCCTTGGTTGCCAGTATGAGCAGCATCTCATCGCTAATGCGTATTGCACTCCCCCTGCCACTGCCCATGGCCCCCCATTACTTCTCGTGCTGTTGCAGTGCCGTTTCAAACTGCCTGCGCATACGGAACCCAATTCATTTTTGCTGGTTTTGAAACTCAATTTATTCCTTCACTCTTTATGCAGGGGTCTCAACATGTATGTTGCAACATACATAGTAGTGAATTCGAACTTTGTAGTTGCCACCGCTTTATTGGTGGTCGTGGCGGTGTATGTATGGAAGGAGTTTAGAGACAAGGGAGACAGAGATCAGCAAGGGGTTGGCGTGTCTGGTGGAGAGCATTCGCTCTGCCCCTGTTGCTGCCGCCCTGCGGTTGGACAGGGAGTAGGGAAGGAGCAGGAGGGGCAGAAGAGTGTGGGGAAGGAGCAGGAGGCGCAGCAGAGTGTGGGGAAGGAGCAGGAGGGGCAGCAGAGTGTGGGGAAGGAGCAGGAGGGGCAGAAGAGTGTGGGGAAGGAGCAGGAGGGCCAGAAGAGTGTGGGGAAGGAGCAGGAGGGGCAGAAGAGTGTGGGGAAGGAGCAGGAGGGGCAGCAGAGTGTGGGGAAGGAGCAGGAGGGGCAGCAGAGTGTGGGGAAGGAGCAGGAGGGGCAGAAGAGTGTGGGGAAGGAGCAGGAGGGGCAGAAGAGTGTGGGGAAGGAGCAGGAGGGGCAGAAGAGTGTGGGGAAGGAGCAGGAGGGGCAGAAGAGTGTGGGAAAGGAGCAGGAGGGGCAGCAGAGTGTGGGGAAGGAGCAGGAGGGGCAGCAGAGTGTGGGGAAGGAGCAAGAGGGGCAGCAGGGAGTAGGGAAGGAGCAGGAGGTGCAGGGGCAGGAGAAGCAACACGACCTGGAGTTGTAGCAAGCACGTGGTGAAGGGGCTGGCCGTATGGGAGCAACTGCAGCAATGGTGTACCTGGTGGAGAGCAGAGGGAGGTGAGAAGGGAGATGGAACGAGAGGAACATAGGCAATGACAGGAAATTCAGAAGTTTTCATTGAAATCTAGTATACAAGCGTTCACCATGTTGCATTCTGGATGTAGCTTCTTGTGATCCATGAAATGAGAACCTGAATGTGGGTACTCTCCCCACTGGAATATAAATGTGTTGTGGTCTATTTTGGAATGTAGAGTACTTGCACGATTCGTTATATTCCACCTTGATTCTGACGAGGCGCGGCCTGACCCGCCCCGTTTCCACGCCCGTTGTGGTCAGCATCTCGCCGTCAAGCACATCACTGTCAAATTATGGTACTGTAGAGCGTGGTTCGTTTCCATCACCCAAACGCACCACCCGAAACCGCGATTTTCTACTCGTTCCTGCTTTTGGCAGTCGCATCCATCACACCTTGCAACCAAATCAGGACCACTCTCAGGGCGTGGAACATGAGGTTGGGAAACCCCTGAACATCGGTACTGGTAACCACCTTCGTCAACTGCTGATTTGCCTCTTGCGAAAGTGCATTACATGTTACAGCCCCTCGCACTCAAATAACCCCATCATGGAGCTCTGCATACGGCTTAGTAGACAGCAACCGTACTGAAACACGATATATCCTACTTAAACTCTCCTTAACGTTCGTAACCTTCATCTGAGCCTCATTTTGCCCGGTCTTCACGAATTCCTCTGCTCTCCTGATCCCACTAACGTCCTTGCTTCAGTGTTTAATATCAGGGTCCTGTAGTCTGCTTTCTCGTTCCAGTCCCGCTGATCCGGAACGTCACATCAAGCCAGCGGGACGAAACAAAAGCAGGAGACTGAAGGAGACGCGAGTCCGGCTCATTGTTCTGTGAGCCCTTGTAGAATCTGCCTAAGTGGCGCGCCGTTGCGATCTTATCGTAGTTGCTAAAGCAATTTCTTACATACTTTCAAGCGGCATTGCGGACGGTTCCTTCGTCTCTACCTCCCGATTTCGCGGACCGTACGGTGCAGTTAAGCTTCGTGTACTTCCATCGCTTCGCAGAGCGAACGACCTGCGTCAAGCAAATATCCGAATCTGCAGACCGCACGGTTCATCGGACCCGTCACCATGTTCTCGTGGATCGCGTCGAAACCGGCGGCGAAGGAGGAACCGCCCATTCCCAAGAGCTTCGACCCGCTCAAGGGGCTGGGCGGAGCCGTCGCATTTTACAAGGATGTCGATTCTCAGGTTAGTTGGTCCTTATGAGCTATTAATATCGTATCGATTCGCAGCTGGCCGTCGCTTCCTCTCGCCGCTCCCAAGAGCTTCGGCCCGCTCAAGGGACTGGGCGGAGCAGTGGCATACTACAAGGATGCCAATTCTCAGGTTAGTTGGTTCTAAGGAATTGCGAATTCGTATCAACTTGCAGGTTAGTGTCTCGTTGGCCGTCAGTTCCGCTCGTTTCTCCCAAGAGCTTCGACCCGCTCAAGGGTTTGGGTGGAGCAGTCGCGTTCTACAAGAATTCCGGCTCGCAGGTCAGCCGGTCCTTACGAGCTATTAAGATTGTATCGATTCGCATCCGGCCGTCATTTTCTCTCGCCGCCCCGAAGTGCTTCGACCTGCTCAAGGCCTGACTGGGGCAGTCGCATTCGACAAGGATTCCGATTCGCAGGCGATGTTTCCGGCGATTCCCAGGTGTGTTGGGTTACGGTTACGTACTCAGTCCGTGCCGCAAAAAACGATTCCACTGTAGTTGCGGCAGGCATCGCTCGTGTTGCACCTTCCGGGTATAGCAACTTTTGGACATTCGCGTTTACTTTCCCTCCTTTTCGATCCCGCCTCGTCTGATCATCAGGCCGCCGATGCTGCTGGATCAGGCAAGCTGATTGGCTCCGCTGCTGCTTTCTACGCCAATGTTGCTCGCGAACGTCTGCTAGAAGCAGCTGACGCGGCTGTGCCCGCGGGTTCGAATCCCAGCGCTGGCAATAATTCAACAGCCGAAATTTGCCCTGGCGTTGGCGAAATCAACGAGTTCCTGCGACGGGGGCGACGCTGCATTGACTCTGTCGCGCCGTCGCTGGCTGATGCGGGGGAAGGCAAGGCGGAGGGTGGTTCCTCCGTGCCTGCGCCGGAGCTGGACTTGAGGTTCGGGAGCGCGGCTGAGGAGCCGGTTCGGTGGCTGTTCAAAGTGGTGATTGGCAGCGAGCATGCGGGTGAGATGGGTTGGAAGGGAAGGATGAGATGAAGGGAAAGGAACGATAGAGGGGGTTGGGGGGATGAGGAGTCTGAGGAGGACACATAAGGCGGTATCGTGTCAGCCATCGTGTATGCATTCTTCTTTTGAGAATTCTCAAAGGTGACTCCCAAATTTGAGAATTCTCAAAAGTGACTCCCAAATTTGAGAATTCTCAAAAGTGACTCCCAGATTTGAGAATTCTCAAAAGTGGGATCGTGTCAGCCATCGTGTACACATTCTTCCTCGGTCACTCTGTGCCGGCCAGTGCACTGCTTTCCTACCTACCCCCTATCCTCCAACCCATTTCCGTCCCTGTGCCCCCCATCCCTTCCTCCCTTCCACCAGATCTGGGCGATTGTGTCAGCCATTGTCTACTCCTTCCTCGACCACTCTGCCCCCCATTAGCCAGGAGTGCTTAATGCACTCCTTCCCCACACCCTATCATCCAACCCATTCCTTCTCTGTGCCCTCCTCTCCTCACCCCCCCACACACATTCACCAGATCTGGACGTGATGGTCTCGGCCATCGTCTACTCCTTCTTCCTGGATCACTCAGAGCCGCCCAGCGCACTCCTTCCCCACACACTATCCTCCAGTCCATTCCTTCCCACCCACCCAACCCCCCACCCAACCCCCCCTTTCCACCAGATCTGTACGCGATCGTCTCAGCCATCGTCTACTCCTTCTTCCTGAATCACTCAGAGCCGCCCAGCGCACTCCTTCCCCACACACTATCCTCCAGTCCATTCCTTCCCACCCACCCAACCCCCCACCCAACCCCCCCTTTCCACCAGATCTGTACGCGATCGTCTCAGCCATCGTCTACTCCTTCTTCCTGAATCACTCAGAGCCGCCCAGCGCACTCCTTCCCCACACACTATCCTCCAGTCCATTCCTTCCCACCCACCCAACCCCCCACCCAACCCCCCCTTTCCACCAGATCTGTACGCGATCGTCTCAGCCATCGTCTAATCCTTCTTCCTGAATCACTCAGAGCCGCCCAGCGCACTCCTTCCCCACACACTATCCTCCAGTCCATTCCTTCCCACCCACCCAACCCCCCACCCAACCCCCCCTTTCCACCAGATCTGTACGCGATCGTCTCAGCCATCGTCTACTCCTTCTTCCTGAATCACTCAGAGCCGCCCAGCGCACTCCTTCCCCACACACTATCCTCCAGTCCATTCCTTCCCACCCACCCAACCCCCCACCCAACCCCCCCTTTCCACCAGATCTGTACGCGATCGTCTCAGCCATCGTCTACTCCTTCTTCCTGAATCACTCAGAGCCGCCCAGCGCACTCCTTCCCCACACACTATCCTCCAGTCCATTCCTTCCCACCCACCCAACCCCCCACCCAACCCCCCCTTTCCACCAGATCTGTACGCGATCGTCTCAGCCATCGTCTACTCCTTCTTCCTGAATCACTCAGAGCCGCCCAGCGCACTCCTTCCCCACACACTATCCTCCAGTCCATTCCTTCCCACCCACCCAACCCCCCACCCAACCCCCCCTTTCCACCAGATCTGTACGCGATCGTCTCAGCCATCGTCTAATCCTTCTTCCTGAATCACTCAGAGCCGCCCAGCGCACTCCTTCCCCACACACTATCCTCCAGTCCATTCCTTCCCACCCACCCAACCCCCCACCCAACCCCCCCTTTCCACCAGATCTGTACGCGATCGTCTCAGCCATCGTCTACTCCTTCTTCCTGGACCATTCAGAGCCTGCCAGTCCTCCTCTCCCCCCCTTCTCCCCTTCCCCCCCTTCCCCCCCTTCCACCAGACTTGGATGCAATCGTCTCGGCCATCGTCTACTCCTTCTTCCTGGATCACTCAGAGCCGCCCAGCGCGCGGGCGGCGGGGCTTTGTCTGCTTCCTCTAGTGCACACGAGCCGGGCGGATTTCCACCTCCGCACCGATGCAGCGTGGCTGCTGCAAGCGATGGGCGTGGACACACAGGCACTTCTCTTCTTAGATGAGGTGAGATTGTTACAGGGTTACCATGGGATGGCTTGTTTCATCCGGTGCACACGAGCCGGGCGGACTTCCACCTTCGCACCGACGCGGCGTGGCTGCTGCAGGCCACGGGGGTGGACACACAGGCGCTTATGTTCCTGGATGAGGTGAGATTGTCTGTTACCAGGTTACCGTCTATGAGGTCATGATGAGGTAAGGTGGCTTGTTTCCACTGGTGCGCACGAGCCGGGCGGACTTCCATCTTCGCACCGACGCGGCATGGCTGCTGCAAGCGATGGGCGTGGACACACAGGCTCTCTTGTTCCTTGATGAGGTGAGCGGCTTGATGGTTACCAGGTTACCATCGGGTATCAACAGAGGGCAGGTCGCTGGTGCACACGAGCCGGGTGGACTTCCACCTCCGCACCAACGCTGCATGGCTGCTGCAAGCGATGGGCGTGGTGGACACACACGCTCTCTTGTTTCTTGATGAGGTGAGGGGGGTCTGGATACCAGGTTACTGGGTCACCAGCACAGCACGTATCCACCTTCGCACCAACGCTGCGTGGCTGCTGCAGGCCATGGGGTTGGACACACAGACGCTCATGTTCCTGGACGAGGTGAGAGGGAAGATTTGGTTACCAGGTTACGACTGAATGTTCCCCTTCGCCCTGACGCAGCGTGGCTGCTGCAGGCAATGGGGGTGGACACACAGGCACTTCTCCTCTTGGACGAGGTGAGAGGTTCTTTCTTGCCAACAGGTTACTGGGTTACCAGCACGTATCCACCTCCGCACCGACGCGGCATGGCTGCTGCAGGCCATGGGGGTGGACACACAGGCGCTCTTGATTCTTGATGAGGTGAGAGGTTCTTATTTCTACAAGCTTTTGTTACCGGGTTACCATGCACCAGGCACCCACCATCAGGCGGCTCGTTTGCTGCACGGAGAGGGGCGGCTGCAAGCCATTCTAACTGTGCCTCCTTCCCACCCTTCCCACCCTGCCTCACCCCGCCCTTCCCGCCCTTCCAACAGGTTGATTTGCGCAAGCTGCATGGGGAGGGGCGGCTGCAGGTGGTGCTGTACGGCCACAACAAGATGCCCGCTACTATTGAGGTACTAACCCATTTTACTAGTACATACTCGTTATAAGCAATAGTACTTATTCGTTACAGTCACACAAGTAGAAGCGGCTGCAGGTGGTGCTGTACAGCCACATTAAGATGCCTGCTACTATTGAGGTTCCATTCTAGTACATACGCGTTATAAGCACTAGTACACAGTACATACTCGTTATCAGACAGTAGCACCCTACTCACTCGTTACAGTCACCCTTGTTAGACAGGATGCATGCTTCGTTACGCGTTGTAAGCACTAGTACATACTCGTTAATAAGTATTACAGTCACACAGATAGGGGCGGCAGCTAATGGTGCTGTACAGCCACAACAAGTTTTTCCGTGCTGCTCCTCCCCCTCCTCCTCCTCCTCCTCCTCCTCCTCCTCCTCCTCCTCCTCCTCCTCCTCCTCCTCCTCCTCCTCCTCCTCCTCCTCCTCCTCCTCCTCCTCCCCCTCCTCCTCCTCCTCCTCCTCCTCCTCCTCCTCCTCCTCCCCCCCCCCCTCCTCCTCCTCCTCCTCCTCCTCCTCCTCCTCCTCCTCCTCCTCCTCCTCCTCCTCCTCCTCCTCCTCCTCCTCCTCCTCCTCCTCCTCCTCGTTCTCCTCCTCCTCCTCCTCCTCCTCCTCCTCCTCCTCCTCCTCCTCCTCCTCCTCCTCCTCCTCCTCCTCCTCCTCCTCCTCCCCTCCTCCTCCTCCTCCTCCTCCTCCTCCTCCTCCTCCTCCTCCTCCTCTCCTTCTCCTCCTCCTGCTCCCACCCGTGCTTGTGTTTAGGTTCCCCCTCACTTCCCCTCTCCTGTCTCCCCTCACCCTCTCTCACCTCGCCCTGTCTCCGCTCACCCTCGTCATCTCTCTGCACCTGTCTAAATGCCTTCACGTTTCTGCACAACCCCTTTGCACCGCTCTTCACCAACCCCTGTGCCAGCAGGGCATGGAGAAGGCTGTGGCAGAAATCATTCCTCGGGAAACAGTGAGTTTCAGAAAGATAGCTGACGCACAGGAGTGTTAATGGATTTTGAGTTCTGATTCTTTTGGTTTGATCGGGTGGGCTGTCTCGGATCTGTGCAGGAGCGGGGTTGGGGAACTGGTGGGGCTTTTTTCCTTCTTCATTCTCTCGGGGTGGGGAATTTCACAAAATGCATTCCTCTTCCTGTCAAGAAGCAATAGTCATGTTGGTATGCCTCTTCCCGGGTTAAGGGTGGGGAACAGGAAACGGTTATCTCACATCCCATCTTCTTTTGAGTCGACTCACAAGTCACCATGAGTTATCCCTTTCCCTGTCAAGAATTAATAGTCATGTGTCAGTACGCCTCTTCCCGGGTTGAGGGTGGGGAACAGGGAACGGTTATCTCACATCCCATCTTCCCGCGAACAACAGAAGAGGCAAGTCACCTCTTTTGTTTAGGACATCTTTTGCGTCTTCGGGGAACACTGCTTTGTATATTTTTTCACTATTTCCTCCTCATGTCTCGCCGGCCACATTAACAGCGGCCATGGTTTCAATCTCCGGAACCCCTTTCTCTTATCATGTATCTATCCTCTCTCCCATCTTCTCTTTCGTTCTCTCTCTCCTCTGCTTGCTCCAGGGCAGCAGCTGTGCCACCATGCTGGCTCGCAGGCTCTCAGAGGAGGCCCCTCACCTCCTCCTCAACATCGCTCTTGCACGCCTGCTGGTGAGTCTAAGGTGTAGAGGAAGGGACGCTGGCACCCTGGCCGACTGGTTGCTGTTTTCCATCCCCGCTCTCAGCTCACAGCCATTCGCATGCACCAACAAATTGCCTCTCGGGCAGAGCAGCGGGGTGGATGTTTTTGAGTCGACTCAAAAACAAATTGCCTCACCGCCCGGGCAGAGCAGGGAGGTGGATGGCAGCAACACGGTGGCTTTTGAGTCGACTCAAAAATCGACTCACAACACGGTGGCTTTTGAGTCGACTCAAAAATCGACTCACAACACGGTGGCTTTTGAGTCGACTCAAAAATCGACTCATAACACGGTGGCTTTTCAGTCGATTCAAAAATCGACTCATAACACGGTGGCTTTTGAGTCGACTCAAAAATCGACTCATAACACGGTGGCTTTTGAGTCGACTAAAAAAATCGACTCATAACACGGTGGCTTTTGAGTCGACTCAAAAATCGACTCATAACACGGTGGCTTTTGAGTCGACTCAAAAATTGACTCATAACACGGTGGCTTTTGAGTCGACTCAAAAATCGACTCATAACACGGTGGCTTTTAAGTCGACTCAAAAATCGACTCATATCACGGTGGCTTTTGAGTCGACTCAAAAATCGACTCATAACACGGTGGCTTTTGAGTCGACTCAAAAATCGACTCATAACACGGTGGCTTTTAAGTCGACTCAAAAATCGACTCATAACACGGTGGCTTTTGAGTCGACTCAACAATCGACTCATAACACGGTGGCTTTTGAGTCGACTCAAAAATCGACTCATAACACGGTGGCTTTTAAGTCGACTCAAAAATCGACTCATATCACGGTGGCTTTTGAGTCGACTCAAGAATCGACTCATAACACGGTGGCTTTTGAGTCGACTCAAAAATCGACTCATAACACAGTGGCTTTTGGGTCGACTCAAAATTCACCCGGTTGGCACGAGGATGTGGGTTCGAACCACAGCAAGCGGAGTGGTCTCCTCAAAGTTCTTAACTAACAGCTAGGAGTATTTAGAGTGGGAAAAAAAGTAGAATCGGGACTTCGTAAGTCCAACTTCAGTAAAGAACGTAGGCGTACGCGTTTCGGCCGTGAGGCCTTCGTCAACACGGTGGCTTTTGAGTCGACTCAAAATTCACCCAGGTGGCAGCATGGATTGCTGATGTGCCTATGGGCACACTGCTTCCACTCCACCTCCTCCCGTCCCCATCCCTGCTGCTCTCAGCTCACAGCTACACACATGCACCAACACATTCCCATCCACCTATAACCTGGATCCAGGGCAGAGCAGCGAGGTGGATGGCAGCACGCGAGCATGGATTGCACTCATATTCCTTGACCTGTCGAACTCCCCTGTTTCACCCTCAGCTCGCAACCTTTCTCACGTGCACCAGCAACCTGGATCCAGGGCAGAGCAGCGAGGGGGATGGCAGCAGGGATTGATGGTGGAACCATTGCCGCACTGCTCTCTCTCCATCTCCTCTCCTCCCATCTCCTCTCGACCCTCTCCCCCTCTCAGCTCGCAGCCATTCTCACGTGCACCAGCAACCTGGATCCAGGGCAGAGCAGCGAGGGGGATGGCAGCAGGGATTGATGGTGGAACCATTGCCGCACTGCTCTCTCTCCATCTCCTCTCCTCCCATCTCCTCTCGACCCTCTCCCCCTCTCAGCTCGCAGCCATTCTAACGTGCACCAGCAACCTGGATCCCGGGCAGAGCAGCGAGGTGGATGGCAGCAGGGATTGATGGTGGAACCATTGCCGCACTGCTCTCTCTCCATCTCCTCTCCTCCCATCTCCTCTCGACCCTCTTCCCCTCTCAGCTCGCAGCCATTCTCACGTGCACCAGCAACCTGGATCCAGGGCAGAGCAGCGAGGGGGATGGCAGCAGGGATTGATGGTGGAACCATTGCCGCACTGCTCTCTCTCCATCTCCTCTCCTCCCATCTCCTCTCGACCCTCTTCCCCTCTCAGCTCGCAGCCATTCTCACGTGCACCAGCAACCTGGATCCAGGGCAGAGCAGCGAGGGGGATGGCAGCAGGGATTGATGGTGGAACCATTGCCGCACTGCTCTCTCTCCATCTCCTCTCCTCCCATCTCCTCTCGACCCTCTCCCCCTCTCAGCTCGCAGCCATTCTCACGTGCACCAGCAACCTGGATCCCGGGCAGAGCAGCGAGGGGGATGGCAGCAGGGATTGATGGTGGAACCATTGCCGCACTGCTCTCTCTCCATCTCTTCTCCTCCCATCTCCTCTCGACCCTCTTCCCCTCTCAGCTCGCAGCCATTCTCACGTGCACCAGCAACCTGGATCCAGGGCAGAGCAGCGAGGGGGATGGCAGCATGGCAGCATGGATTGCGCTCATATCCCTTGTTGTGTCTAACTCCCCTGTTTCACCCTCCCTTACCCACACCCACACGCATCTCGCAGCCATTCTCACGTGCACCAGCAACCTGGATCCAGGGCAGAGCAGCGAGGGGGATGGCAGCAGGGATTGATGGTGGAACCATTGCCGCACTGCTCTCTCTCCATCTCCTCTCCTCCCATCTCCTCTCGACCCTCTCCCCCTCTCAGCTCGCAGCCATTCTCACGTGCACCAGCAACCTGGATCCAGGGCAGAGCAGCGAGGGGGATGGCAGCAGGGATTGATGGTGGAACCATTGCCGCACTGCTCTCTCTCCATCTCCTCTCCTCCCATCTCCTCTCGACCCTCTTCCCCTCTCAGCTCGCAGCCATTCTCACGTGCACCAGCAACCTGGATCCAGGGCAGAGCAGCGAGGGGGATGGCAGCATGGCAGCATGGATTGCGCTCATATCCCTTGTTGTGTCTAACTCCCCTGTTTCACCCTCCCTTACCCACACCCACACGCAGCTCGCAGCCATTCTCACGTGCACCAGCAACCTGGATCCAGGGCAGAGCAGCGAGGTGGATGGCAGCACGCGAGCTTGGATTGGACTCATATTCCTTGACTTGTCTAACTCCCCTATTTCCATCCCCACGCTCAGCTCGCAGCCATTCTCACGTGCACCAGCAATCTCGATCCTGGGCAGAGCAGCGAGGTGGGTACCAGCATGGCTTGCATTCGTACCCCTCAAATAACCACCCAACCACCCTCCTTCCCATCCACCCTTCACATCCACTCGCAGCTCGCAGCCATTCTCACGTGCACCAACAACTTGGATCCAGGGCAGAGCAGCGAGGTGGATGGCAGCACGCGAGCTTGGATTGGACTCATATTCCTTGACTTGTCTAACTCCCCTATTTCCATCCCCACGCTCAGCTCGCAGCCATTCTCACGTGCACCAGCAATCTCGATCCTGGGCAGAGCAGCGAGGTGGGTACCAGCATGGCTTGCATTCGTACCCCTCAAATAACCACCCAACCACCCTCCTTCCCATCCACCCTTCACATCCACTCGCAGCTCGCAGCCATTCTCACGTGCACCAGCAACCTGGATCCAGGGCAGAGCAGCGAGGTGGATGGCAGCACGCGAGCTTGGATTGGACTCATATTCCTTGACTTGTCTAACTCCCCTATTTCCATCCCCACGCTCAGCTCGCAGCCATTCTCACGTGCACCAGCAATCTCGATCCTGGGCAGAGCAGCGAGGTGGGTACCAGCATGGCTTGCATTCGTACCCCTCAAATAACCACCCAACCACCCTCCTTCCCATCCACCCTTCACATCCACTCGCAGCTCGCAGCCATTCTCACGTGCACCAGCAACCTGGATCCAGGGCAGAGCAGCGAGGTGGATGGCAGCACGCGAGCTTGGATTGGACTCATATTCCTTGACTTGTCTAACTCCCCTATTTCCATCCCCACGCTCAGCTCGCAGCCATTCTCACGTGCACCAGCAATCTCGATCCTGGGCAGAGCAGCGAGGTGGGTACCAGCATGGCTTGCATTCGTACCCCTCAAATAACCACCCAACCACCCTCCTTCCCATCCACCCTTCACATCCACTCGCAGCTCGCAGCCATTCTCACGTGCACCAGCAACCTGGATCCTGGGCAGAGCAGCGAGGTGGATGGCAGCACGCGAGCTTGGATTGGACTCATATTCCTTGACTTGTCTAACTCCCCTATTTCCATCCCCACGCTCAGCTCGCAGCCATTCTCACGTGCACCAGCAACCTGGATCCTGGGCAGAGCAGCGAGGTGGATGGCAGCACGCGAGCTTGGATTGGACTCATATTCCTTGACTTGTCTAACTCCCCTATTTCCATCCCCACGCTCAGCTCGCAGCCATTCTCACGTGCACCAGCAACCTGGATCCTGGGCAGAGCAGCGAGGTGGATGGCAGCACGCGAGCTTGGATTGGACTCATATTCCTTGACTTGTCTAACTCCCCTATTTCCATCCCCACGCTCAGCTCGCAGCCATTCTCACGTGCACCAGCAACCTGGATCCTGGGCAGAGCAGCGAGGTGGATGGCAGCACGCGAGCTTGGATTGGACTCATATTCCTTGACTTGTCTAACTCCCCTATTTCCATCCCCACGCTCAGCTCGCAGCCATTCTCACGTGCACCAGCAACCTGGATCCTGGGCAGAGCAGCGAGGTGGATGGCAGCACGCGAGCTTGGATTGGACTCATATTCCTTGACTTGTCTAACTCCCCTATTTCCATCCCCACGCTCAGCTCGCAGCCATTCTCACGTGCACCAGCAACCTGGATCCTGGGCAGAGCAGCGAGGTGGATGGCAGCACGCGAGCTTGGATTGGACTCATATTCCTTGACTTGTCTAACTCCCCTATTTCCATCCCCACGCTCAGCTCGCAGCCATTCTCACGTGCACCAGCAACCTGGATCCTGGGCAGAGCAGCGAGGTGGATGGCAGCACGCGAGCTTGGATTGGACTCATATTCCTTGACTTGTCTAACTCCCCTATTTCCATCCCCACGCTCAGCTCGCAGCCATTCTCACGTGCACCAGCAACCTGGATCCTGGGCAGAGCAGCGAGGTGGATGGCAGCACGCGAGCTTGGATTGGACTCATATTCCTTGACTTGTCTAACTCCCCTATTTCCATCCCCACGCTCAGCTCGCAGCCATGCTCACGTGCACCAGCAACCTGGATCCTGGGCAGAGCAGCGAGGTGGATGGCAGCACGCGAGCTTGGATTGGACTCATATTCCTTGACTTGTCTAACTCCCCTATTTCCATCCCCACGCTCAGCTCGCAGCCATTCTCACGTGCACCAGCAACCTGGATCCTGGGCAGAGCAGCGAGGTGGATGGCAGCACGCGAGCTTGGATTGGACTCATATTCCTTGACTTGTCTAACTCCCCTATTTCCATCCCCACGCTCAGCTCGCAGCCATTCTCACGTGCACCAGCAACCTGGATCCTGGGCAGAGCAGCGAGGTGGATGGCAGCACGCGAGCTTGGATTGGACTTATATTCCTTGACTTGTCTAACTCCCCTATTTCCATCCCCACGCTCAGCTCGCAGCCATTCTCACGTGCACCAGCAACCTGGATCCTGGGCAGAGCAGCGAGGTGGATGGCAGCACGCGAGCTTGGATTGGACTCATATTCCTTGACTTGTCTAACTCCCCTATTTCCATCCCCACGCTCAGCTCGCAGCCATTCTCACGTGCACCAGCAACCTGGATCCTGGGCAGAGCAGCGAGGTGGATGGCAGCACGCGAGCTTGGATTGGACTCATATTCCTTGACTTGTCTAACTCCCCTATTTCCATCCCCACGCTCAGCTCGCAGCCATTCTCACGTGCACCAGCAACCTGGATCCTGGGCAGAGCAGCGAGGTGGATGGCAGCACGCGAGCTTGGATTGGACTCATATTCCTTGACTTGTCTAACTCCCCTATTTCCATCCCCACGCTCAGCTCGCAGCCATGCTCACGTGCACCAGCAACCTGGATCCTGGGCAGAGCAGCGAGGTGGATGGCAGCACGCGAGCTTGGATTGGACTCATATTCCTTGACTTGTCTAACTCCCCTATTTCCATCCCCACGCTCAGCTCGCAGCCATTCTCACGTGCACCAGCAACCTGGATCCTGGGCAGAGCAGCGAGGTGGATGGCAGCACGCGAGCTTGGATTGGACTCATATTCCTTGACTTGTCTAACTCCCCTATTTCCATCCCCACGCTCAGCTCGCAGCCATTCTCACGTGCACCAGCAACCTGGATCCTGGGCAGAGCAGCGAGGTGGATGGCAGCACGCGAGCTTGGATTGGACTTATATTCCTTGACTTGTCTAACTCCCCTATTTCCATCCCCACGCTCAGCTCGCAGCCATTCTCACGTGCACCAGCAACCTGGATCCTGGGCAGAGCAGCGAGGTGGATGGCAGCACGCGAGCTTGGATTGGACTCATATTCCTTGACTTGTCTAACTCCCCTATTTCCATCCCCACGCTCAGCTCGCAGCCATTCTCACGTGCACCAGCAACCTGGATCCTGGGCAGAGCAGCGAGGTGGATGGCAGCACGCGAGCTTGGATTGGACTCATATTCCTTGACTTGTCTAACTCCCCTATTTCCATCCCCACGCTCAGCTCGCAGCCATTCTCACGTGCACCAGCAACCTGGATCCTGGGCAGAGCAGCGAGGTGGATGGCAGCACGCGAGCTTGGATTGGACTCATATTCCTTGACTTGTCTAACTCCCCTATTTCCATCCCCACGCTCAGCTCGCAGCCATTCTCACGTGCACCAGCAACCTGGATCCTGGGCAGAGCAGCGAGGTGGATGGCAGCACGCGAGCTTGGATTGGACTCATATTCCTTGACTTGTCTAACTCCCCTATTTCCATCCCCACGCTCAGCTCGCAGCCATTCTCACGTGCACCAGCAACCTGGATCCTGGGCAGAGCAGCGAGGTGGATGGCAGCACGCGAGCTTGGATTGGACTCATATTCCTTGACTTGTCTAACTCCCCTATTTCCATCCCCACGCTCAGCTCGCAGCCATTCTCACGTGCACCAGCAACCTGGATCCTGGGCAGAGCAGCGAGGTGGATGGCAGCACGCGAGCTTGGATTGGACTCATATTCCTTGACTTGTCTAACTCCCCTATTTCCATCCCCACGCTCAGCTCGCAGCCATTCTCACGTGCACCAGCAACCTGGATCCTGGGCAGAGCAGCGAGGTGGATGGCAGCACGCGAGCTTGGATTGGACTCATATTCCTTGACTTGTCTAACTCCCCTATTTCCATCCCCACGCTCAGCTCGCAGCCATTCTCACGTGCACCAGCAACCTGGATCCTACGGAAGAGCTCTCTGAAAGAAGAGTGATTTTGAGACGTCTCAAAAACAACCCGGCATTGCTCACTACGGAAGCGCTCCCTATGATTCAACTTGTGAATGACGTCAGAGCTCTTCCCCTCAAGACGTCAGAGCTCAAGCCTATACATTTTCCTTCTACATTTGCCCCTCTCTTCCCCTCCCCCTCAGTGCGCGACAAGAAGTACAACCAGGCGTCGCTCACTACTGAGGAACTCCTTAGGGCGGATATAGTGCAGCATGCCATGGGACCCGGTGAGCAATAGGATGGGGCTGTGTTGTGGGTGCATGGCATTGCACAGCTGATGCTGTAGCAGCGTCCGGGTATGATGAGTCATTATCTGAGTCAACTGGCGCAAGTTTGATTCTCGTGCGTGTCTGGGTGTGTGCGGCAAGAAGGGCGGCTAGGTGCAGAGCGGTGCGATATCGAATGATGTGGCAAGCTGCTGCAGGATGAGAGTATTTTGAGACGTCTCAAAACGCTTCTTCAATCACGTGGCTATTCTCATGGCACGCTGCTGCAGGATGAGTATTCGGTCACACACGCATACACTTGCCTTGCTCGCATTCTCCCTTGTTTCACTGTCTGTATCTGTATGCATGCGCAGCTGTATGCAACAAAAAGGGCGCTGAGGTGCTGAACTGAACGTGGCGATAGCGAATGAAATGGCACGAGGTGACCTGGCGCTGCAGGGAATTCCCAGCTGGTGAACAAGGAGGCAGAGAAAGAAATTTTTGAAATGGCAGAGAAATTCCCTGTAATGGCACGAGGTGACCTGGTGCTATGATTCTCCCTTTTCGATTCTCTCGCTGCGCAGGTGTGCGCGGCAAGAAGGGTGGCGAGGTGCTGAATGTGGCGATATCGAATGTGGGAAGCTCGACATCGCAGCTGGTCAACAAGGACGCCAAATTTGAGGAGATTCTCAAGCAGTTCCTCTGTGAGTCCTGTTATGTAAAAGCTGCTAGGGGCATGCGGCTAGAGTCACCCACACCCCCCATGCACGTCTCTGTCAGCTGGTGAACAAGGACGCCAAGTTCGAGTAGATTCTGAAGCAGTTCCTCTGTGAGTTGAGGGTGTGGGGGGGAGGGCAGTGGTGTTGGTCCATTGTGGCGGTATTGGGAATGTGGGAAGCTGTGCGTCCCAGCTGGTGAACAAGGACGCCAAGTTCGAGGAGATTCTGAAGCAGTTTCTGTGTGAGTCATGGGGGAGGGCAGTGGTGTTGGTCCATTGTGTGCATCCAACCCACTTAACGTGTGCATCCAACCCACTTAACGTGTGCATCCAACCCACTTAACGTGTGCATCCAACCCACTTAACGTGTGCATCCAACCCACTTAACGTGTGCATCCAACCCACTTAACGTGTGCATCCAACCCACTTAACGTGTGCATCCAACCCACTTAACGTGTGCATCCAACCCACTTAACGTGTGCATCCAACCCACTTAACGTGTGCATCCAACCCACTTAACGTGTGCATCCAACCCACTTAACGTGTGCATCCAACCCACTTAACGTGTGCATCCAACCCACTTAACGTGTGCATCCAACCCACTTAACGTGTGCATCCAACCCACTTAACGTGTGCATCCAACCCACTTAACGTGTGCATCCAACCCACTTAACGTGTGCATCCAACCCACTTAACGTGTGCATCCAACCCACTTAACGTGTGCATCCAACCCACTTAACGTGTGCATCCAACCCACTTAACGTGTGCATCCAACCCACTTAACGTGTGCATCCAACCCACTTAACGTGTGCATCCAACCCACTTAACGTGTGCATCCAACCCACTTAACGTGTGCATCCAACCCACTTAACGTGTGCATCCAACCCACTTAACGTGTGCATCCAACCCACTTAACGTGTGCATCCAACCCACTTAACGTGTGCATCCAACCCACTTAACGTGTGCATCCAACCCACTTAACGTGTGCATCCAACCCACTTAACGTGTGCATCCAACCCACTTAACGTGTGCATCCAACCCACTTAACGTGTGCATCCAACCCACTTAACGTGTGCATCCAACCCACTTAACGTGTGCATCCAACCCACTTAACGTGTGCATCCAACCCACTTAACGTGTGCATCCAACCCACTTAACGTGTGCATCCAACCCACTTAACGTGTGCATCCAACCCACTTAACGTGTGCATCCAACCCACTTAACGTGTGCATCCAACCCACTTAACGTGTGCATCCAACCCACTTAACGTGTGCATCCAACCCACTTAACGTGTGCATCCAACCCACTTAACGTGTGCATCCAACCCACTTAACGTGTGCATCCAACCCACTTAACGTGTGCATCCAACCCACTTAACGTGTGCATCCAACCCACTTACCGTGTGCATCCAACCCACTTAACGTGTGCATCCAACCCACTTAACGTGTGCATCCAACCCACTTAACGTGTGCATCCAACCCACTTAACGTGTGCATCCAACCCACTTAACGTGTGCATCCAACCCACTTAACGTGTGCATCCAACCCACTTAACGTGTGCATCCAACCCACTTAACGTGTGCATCCAACCCACTTAACGTGTGCATCCAACCCACTTAACGTGTGCATCCAACCCACTTAACGTGTGCATCCAACCCACTTAACGTGTGCATCCAACCCACTTAACGTGTGCATCCAACCCACTTAACGTGTGCATCCAACCCACTTAACGTGTGCATCCAACCCACTTAACGTGTTCATCCAACCCACTTAACGTGTGCATCCAACCCATCTACACCATTTTCTCCCATACCGCTAATTTTCCGTCTGCTACGGTACTCTCTCATTCTCCCGCACACCTACAGCCACTAGTTCACTGCACCTCCTGGTCATCCTCTCTACTAGGAGGTGCAGTGAGCTCACCTCCATGACTCACTAATCCTTTTCCCGTTCACCATTCACCATTCACCCACTCACCTCTGTCTCCTCTTCTCCTCCACACCCACCTACAGCCGATCGCTCGCTGCACCTTCTGGTCATCCTCTCTACATACTACCCCCTTTCTTATTCACCACTCACACATTCACGTCACTCTCTTTCCCCCACACTCATGCCCACCATCAGCCACTCGCTCGCTGCACCTGCTGGTCATCCTCTCTACATACTACTCCGAAACCAGCAAACGCTTCAAGGTACACTACATTTTCTGCATTGCCAATGTTATCTCTGTTTTCCTCAAACGCACCCTTGCTGATCCCCCAGCAGTCTTAACGCCTTCCCTGATCCCCTCTCTGTTCGCGCTGTTGCTGCCCTTGCTGCTGCTCCTCTTGCTGCTGCCCTCCCTGCTGCTGCCCCCACTGCTGCTGCTCGCCCCAATGCCCATCAATCGCAGAGGGAGCTGGTGCTGGCGACTCCTCTCACCTCGCTCTCCTCGGGCCTCTCCTTCTTCCTCCAGAAGGAATCGCACGACCTGCGCCTGCGACCAGTCACCATCCGAGGTGCGTACGGCCTTGATAGTCACAGTAACCAGTCATGCACGGAGCGCCTCTCCTGTTCTGGCATGGGTAAGGTACTTGGGTTGTAGCCTATCTCCTCGCTCTCCTCTCTCCGCGCTCTCCTCTCTCCTCGCTCTCCTCTCTCCTCGCTCTCCTCTCTCCTCCCTCTCCTCTCTCCTCCCTCTCCTCTCTCCTCCCTCTCCTCTCTCCTCCATCTCCTCTCTCCTCGCTCTCCTCTCTCCTCCCTCTCCTCTCTCCTCCCTCTCCTCTCTCCTCCCTCTCCTCTCTCCTCCCTCTCCTCTCTCCTCCCTCTCCTCTCTCCTCCCTCTCCTCTCTCCTCCCTCTCCTCTCTCCTCCCTCTCCTCTCTCCTCCCTCTCCTCTCTCCTCCCTCTCCTCTCTCCTCCCTCTCCTCTCTCCTCGCTCTCCTCTCTCCTCGCTCTCCTCTCTCCTCCCTCTCCTCTCTCCTCCCTCTCCTCTCTCCTCGCTCTCCTCTCTCCTCGCTCTCCTCTCTCCTCCCTCTCCTCTCTCCTCCCTCTCCTCTCTCCTCCCTCTCCTCTCTCCTCCCTCTCCTCTCTCCTCGCTCTCCTCTCTCCTCCCTCTCCTCTCTCCTCCCTCTCCTCTCTCCTCCCTCTCCTCTCTCCTCCCTCTCCTCTCTCCTCCCTCTCCTCTCTCCTCCATCTCCTCTCTCCTCGCTCTCCTCTCTCCTCGCTCTCCTCTCTCCTCCCTCTCCTCTCTCCTCGCTCTCCTCTCTCCTCGCTCTCCTCTCTCCTCCCTCTCCTCTCTCCTCCCTCTCCTCTCTCCTCCCTCTCCTCTCTCCTCCCTCTCCTCTCTCCTCGCTCTCCTCTCTCCTCGCTCTCCTCTCTCCTCCCTCTCCTCTCTCCTCCCTCTCCTCTCTCCTCCCTCTCCTCTCTCCTCGCTCTCCTCTCTCCTCCCTCTCCTCTCTCCTCCCTCTCCTCTCTCCTCCCTCTCCTCTCTCCTCGCTCTCCTCTCTCCTCGCTCTCCTCTCTCCTCCCTCTCCTCTCTCCTCCGTCTCCTCGGGCCTCTCCTTCTTCCTCCAGAAGGAAACGCACGACCTGCGCCTGGGACCAGTCACCATTCGAGGTGAGTGTGAGCACTGTATGAAGGTATGTAAGTTGCACTTACAGTGACCAGTCGAAGTATGTATGACCTGTACGGGCATAGGTTAAGGTACTCCTGTTAGTGCCCCTCCCCTCTCCTCAGGCCTCTCCTTCCTGCAAAGGGAGTCATTGTTTGACCAGTCAAGGTATGTAAAACCTTACGGGACACCTTACGGGCTCTCTTTACGGGAATGGTATGACCTGCTGCGCCTGCGACCACTCACCATTCGAGGTGAGTGGGAGCCCTCTATGAAGATATGTAAGTTGCACTTACCGTGACCAGTCAAGGTATGTATGACCTGTACGGGCATAGGTTAAGGTACTCCTGTTAGTGCCCCTCCCCTCGGGCCCCTCGGCTCTCCTCGTGCCTCTCCTGCCTGCAAAGGGAGTCAATGTTTTGGCCAGTCGAGGTATGTATAACAACAGTGACCAGTCACCAGTCGAGGTATGTATAACAACAGTGACCAGTCACCGTTCCAGGTGACTCCCGCATTACGGGAGTTGCATAATCTACGCCTGCGACCAGTCATCATTCGAGGTAAGTGTGGGAGCCCTGTATGAAGGTATGCCAGTTGCACTTTCAGTGACCAGTCGAGGTATGTATAACAAACAGTGACCAGGCATTACGGGAGTCGCATAATCTACGCCTGCGACCAGTCACCATTCGAGGTGTATATGGCCTTGACACACACAATTCAAGGTGTGGCTTTGGAGTTACAATCATTGTTTGACCCAATGTTTGAAATATGCGCTATACAGTCACATCCGCGGTTCTAAGTACCACTCTTTAAAGTCACATCACTGTCCAAGGTGTTTCCGCCCCAATACGGCCACACTTCCCCATCTCTGGCATCTCCTTTCAAGCTGTGATGTGCAATCTCTTTTTGAAAAGCACGTTACAATAGGCCGTTCCCGAACAATCCTATTTACTGACTTACTGTTGGTCTCAGAGATGTGGGGCTTCATCCCAAATTAACACTTGAAGCCCCGACATAACACGTTTGGCCTGCCAACTCCCTAAACTCTGGAACCTAAAATCAGTTGTTCAACCCTTCCCCTTGGCCCTTTTTCCTCACAGGTATGCCCAATTGGCTCAAGGCGTTCACGCTTGGTAACCCGGTAACCACACGCACTGATGTGGAGCACCTCCTTGTTGAGTATTTTGAGGACGGAAGGTGAATGCCAAGGTAAACAGTGGAAATGTAAAGACGGTGATCCTATGGAGATAAGTCTTAGTAAGAAGCAGGGTTACGGGAAAGTATTTGTAGGTGATGATACCTTACGTTTATTGATTTTGTAATGGCATATCGTGGTATCGTATGATTAAACTGGTTGCAGTCTTTCCATTCACATGCTGGACTGGCTGTGGGATTTTATGGTACCTTGCCTGAGATTAGAGCACCATGAAGATTACATTGGGAGCAGCACATAATCGTTCCAAAAAGATGACGAGTATGTTCCTAACACGAAGCAAACGAATTCTGCTTGCAGCGGGGATTTAGCTCATGAAAAGTTTGTAGATTTCCCTGATGCGTCGCGAGCCGCTCGGTCGCCATCAGTCAGCCGGCGTTTTTGCAGGAGCAATGGCCAATCAGAATTGTTATTTGGGGCAGTCGTCGGTCTGTGCGGCCTGAGTTGCGTCAGGCGTTTCTGCACCAGATTCAGTAAAGGGGACCACGGTGCGCCGCTTTTGCGCTCAAAGCCTCAACATCGTCAGTCCACAGCAAAACTCGCCCCATTTTGCAGGCAAAACGAGTTGAGATTTGCAGCAAATACCGCGCCGCGGGCCTTGTCCCAATGTGCGACTCGGTTGCTGACGCGCAAACATCCCGCGGAGACCTCTGCCGCCGCCAAATCTCTGCAGCACTGTTCCCGCCTGCACTCCGATGGCCCTCTGCAAGTTTACCGCGCAAAGCCAGTCATCCGCCCCCCCCCCCCCCCCCCAATCCCCCAATCACGACAGTCATCCCTCTGGCGAAATGACGCGCACTGGCGGAAATCGCGTTTCTCTTAATTGGATCGACCCAAATTACTCCGACCTCGCCACGTGGGCGTTTCCTTAAATTGGATGGACCCCGTTTGCGCGCGCCCCCCCCAACCCGATTTTCCCGTCCTTCCCCTCCAAAATTCGGGCAGCTGTGTTGACTTTGCTTGGAATTACAAACTGTCGTAATAAAACTGTTTTTCGGTACTTTCAAAATATCGCCATGTGAGGAAATAATGAATTTTTTAAAAAGTGATAATTTCTCTTGCGCGCTAGAGTAACTTGCATGCGGATCGTTTGGTCGGTTCAAGGTTGGGTTTGGTATTCCGTGGTTTGGGCAGATGTGTCGATGAAGTTTAGTAAAATACGATACTATCACTGTGCATACAAGTCTCTAGAGATCGAGTGCTCTGGACACTGTTGCCGAAATGTTACCACGAAAATTTGAGGTGGCAAGCATGCAAACCCGAAAATGTTGGCAAGGTGGAAATTGCGACTGTTTGTGATTCCTCGTAAAGTAAACACAGCTGCCCGAGCTTCGGAGGGGAACGGCGGGAAAATCGAGCAAGCAGGCGCGCGCAACGCGGTCCATCCAATTCAAAGAAACGCTAACGTGGCGAGGTCGGAGTAATTTGGGTCGTTTCAATTGAGAGAAACGCGATTCCCGTCGATGCGCGTCATTTCGCCCATCCCTCTCAACCATCCCATTCCTGCAAGACCCTCAAACCCACAAACCGGACCCAAACGTTCCCAAACATTCTCTCCTCCCGCGCTGCTCGTCCCCCACGAGCCCAACAAGCTGCTTCCGCGCAGCCACCGCATCGCCGCACACCCTACCGAACGGGGACTTCGCTTTTCCAGTCCATGCTTACAGGGGTAGGTTGAAGCAGAGCCTTGTGAATGTTGAGCAAAGCACCTAGGTCTTCCCATAGGCCCACCCACCCACTGGACATGGAGAGAATGGGCTATCTATGAAAACCAAAGCAGAATCTTTCATCACTTCCCTCCGTTGCTCCCAGCCTGCTGTTCTCAGTAAGCCGACCCTGTTACAGTGTTGCCTTTCCGACGCACCTGATTTTACACGATTACCGCAACTACCGCCTGTCAGTTACGTGTACCTTGATAGAATACTTCCTAAGCTGTCCAGGCTTGTTAGGGTTGCCCAGTTCCTGCAACCGTCCGAGTATCAATAATTCATAGAAGCTCGTTCAGTGGAGCCGCAGCTATCCCTGCAACCAGCCTCGGTTACATTTGTTTTTTCTCTTCAGTGGATTGGAGAAATAGAAAAACTCCAGACACAGACCACTCAACTCCTTGTTGACGAGATCCATACGTCGACTCTTGATACGCTGTTACAAAGAAACCCTTAGAGCGCTTGCTGTCAGAATGGCGATTTCGAGAGGGTTTCAAATATTTTTAGTACTCCTTACGGCTGCAACCGTTGTTTCTGGTAAGGCTGGCTGGAATTATCCGCCTCGCAGTAGTTTTAGCCGTTCCGCTGCTTTAACAGGATGACTCTTTAGGGTCTGATGGTGCCTAATATTCCCTTCTGCCTTCTTGAGAATTTTGAATTGAAGGCTATATGTATTTTCTATTGTTCAACTGTTATAACCGCGGAATGTCTGCCACGTTTCAGGAGCGAAGAAGCTAAAAGACGGCGGTCGCTGTTTGCTTTCGCCAACGCTAAAGCCCATCGTTGAGTGCGAAGGCGGTCCAGCCACGTGAGTCGCTAATGCCCTCCTTTATTCTTACTGTAGCCTCGTCAAGTTGCAACGAGGTAGCTTCTGAGCCGATTCAAAACTTCCCTTCTATGGTGGTGGCATGAACCAAATTCCCTTCTATGCGCCTCAAGAATCACAAATGGCCGCTTGTTCTAGCATGCACCGAAAGGTTACAGCCGCCTTCTGTTGCCGCCGCTTTCGTCTCCGTTAAACCCAGTTTTGTATGCAGTGGACTGTTTGCACCCTTTCATCCGCGTTTCGCGTGCGAACCTGCTAGGAAGCATTCAAACCTGCTAGTTGAGATCTACACGCAAACTATGCTAAAACTTCACAGTCCCGCCTCGACCTATACAATCTCATAGTAGACTGGTTACAGTTATTAATTCGTTACAAAAGCGATCCGTCTTGTTTCTTAGCAGCGTCGAATGACTTTGGCATTGCGCATTGGCAGTTAGCCTGACTCGAGGGTATTTGAATCAGTTTCCGTTGAGCCAGGCTGACTTCGTTTCGCTTCCGATACTCCACATGCCACGTCTTCATGTGCGCATCTTCATCCCAAATAATATACAAGTGCCTTCTTATCCGATTCGTTATGCAAAGTTTGTTCGCACATTCCATTTGCTTATGCGTTCGCCTTTTCAGGTGTCTTGTATCGCGGACGCCGAAGCCTGGAAATCCGTACGGTCGCTACAAAGGAGTCTGCAACAGCACTTACGAAAGTAAGAAGAAGAGCGGGGGGGATGAGAAGGGGTAGAGGGAAGAGGACACTAAATAGAAATTCGAGGTACCACATGCTATCGCATGATACCGCATGATACCACGTGACATACTCACTCTACCGGTTTATATCTTATCCCAACTCCGATAGCGGCACTGTGCTGCGCATTCGTGCCGCACAGCCCTGTGATGTGGGCACGAATCGCATCCCGACCCGTCATCTCGATCCTCACCTTGGCTTGTTCCCTTACCGTTGCCCCCTCCCCCTCCCCGCCTCCCTCTCCCCACCCGCAGAGGGTCTCTATTGCGCCTTCATGTCGCAGCCGTATGCGGTGGGAACGCGCGGCATCCTCGGCAGCAGCAGCTGCGAGCGGTGCAACTGCAAGGCGGTGCCGGTGGTGATCCCGGGGGGGAAGGAGATTGTGCGGATGGAGGCGCAGTGCGTGTGCCCCGAGGTGCAGTGTCGGACCAACTACCGCGGCGCCAGCATTCGCCGATTCGCGTGCCCGCCACTACAGCAAACGTACGAATTTGTGATGAGTTTTTTTACTGTCACTGGGAGTTTGTTTGGAAGTTCGTTTCTAGTTTTTTTGGTAAGTTGTTCTACGTATATATTTTCAAATATATATACGTGTATACATGTAGAACAGCTCCAATGTAGTGTAGTGTTGGTGGTTATCGCGGGGAGCAAGGAGCTGGTGGGGATGGAGGCGCAATGCGTGTGCCCCGAGGTGCAGTGTCGCACCAACTACCGCGGAGCCAGCATTCCCGATTCGCATTTCCTATCAAGGTACTCATTTCCAATCCCACCCTGATTGCTCAGCCCTACCCTCTGCCTATGTGTGCAGGTGTTTGATCAATTGGGTCAGTTAGGAGTACAGCAAAAGATACAGGACAGTGAATTTTCCGAAGTCATTAGAAAACGTCCTAACAAAAAAATTACTCAATCCCACCCTCTGTTCTCGTGCGTGCAGGTGTCTGATCAATCGGGTGGGGCGGGGCGGCGTGGATAGCGAGGGGTACAGAATCGACGTCGGCACGTGCATAGCGCCGCAAGACGGTGAGTGCTTCAAACTGCAGTGCTGGGGATACTAGGTTTGTTCTAATTGCAAGAATTTGCTATTATGTAAGCCTACCCCAACCCTCCTTAATCCGAAGGATTACAGTGTTCTCTTTGAGGAAACAAGTCCATCTTAGTAGGTATTCCCCATCCACTTTATCCACTCTTCAGAGCCACACCCTTCAGAGCCACCATCTGCAGCAGTGCATGGCCCACATGGGGTCATGAAGTCTAAACACATGCCCCCCCCACCATCCACTCTTCTCTTGCGCCTTATTCTCACCGTTTTCTATGCGTTCCCTCTGCCTTTTATGTGCTTTCCCTCTACAGCTTTCAGAGCCACCAACTGCAGCAGTGCGGGTCCCACATGGGGTATGAAGTGGTATGCCCTTGGCACCACCAATATTCCTAAGCCTGGAGATTGGTGCACGCGGTGCAAGTGCGGGCATAAGGGGCTCACACGGTGTCGCAAGGTGACCAATTGTACTCCGCCACCTGGCAAATCGGCCACTGGATGATGACGTGTCAGTGCTGCTGCTGGCTGCTTTGCTGTTTTGGGTCTTGGTGAGGGTGATGGGAGGAAGTTTGGATTCCAGTGCCGGGCTGGGCTTTTTTGCTACAAAGGCGAGTAGATAGTTTCTTCATGCGAGGGTGTTTGGGGGGAGAGGGAAGAGTTGCTTGATGTCTGTCTCTTATGCTTCATTGCACTCGATGAAGCTGGAGAAAAGGATGGCAACATGTTCATGGACTCTAGTTTGTACCATATTGGTTAGTTGGGAAAACACTTGGGTCTGCCTATTCTGTCTGAATAAAAAAACTGAATCTGCAATTGAACACAGCGCAAGTCGTCCATCCGTAACGAGTCATGTAGTATTGTGGTTACTGCATTTGCGTGAACCGGTTTGTATGCTCGCGTACCACTTGCTACCGCTTTCGCGTCAGCTGACGGTGTCGTGACTTGTTTGACTGATCACACCCACCAAGCACCGCAATTGGGTTGGCGCGAGGGTGAGAGAAGCTTCCAAAACATCTATTATCGGAGAGAAAGTGAACTGGGCCCAATCGAAAGTGAAAAAAATTTCCGCATTCACCGAAGCTTCCAATTGCATTATCGAGGGCAAAACAGTGCGGGCTGTAGGGTAAACGTCCCGGAAATCGAAGCGCAGGTGTTTAGCAGCAGCGACGCGAACACCTCCAAACATTGCTTCCGCGCCGTCTTCTGTCCTTATTCTCCCCCCCTTGGCGGAAAGGTTCCGCCCTAGTGAGACGGAAGAAGAAAGTGATTCTTTGAAAACAGAAGAATCAACTTTTTGATTCCACCTGGGTTCAGGGCCTGTGCTAGGATTTAGGGCACCCTGAGCCCTCAGGGCAGCTTTTGAAAACTCTCCAAAATGCCCTGATTTTTCAGGGCAAAATTTCCTGGCAATCCTGAAATTTCAGGGCACCAGCAGAAATTCATCCGGATGTTTCAGGGCAAAAAAATACAAGACACTAGAGTGGAGGGGAAGCCACGAGAGGAGCAGGTTGTTCAGTGGTTTCACTACAATGGGCTGAGCAAAAACCTTGGGGGGGGGGGGACAAAACTAGCACACACACCCCCGAGCCTCCTTCCTCCCCTCTCCCCCTCTCCCCCCCTCCCCTCCACCCCTTCTTCCCCTTCCCATGAGTCAGGGCATCCCTCTACATTCACCCTAACGCTTCAGGGCAAAATCTCACTGCCATTCTGAAATTTCAGGGCAAAACACATGAATCATCCTGACGTTACAGGGTAAATTTCATCGTCATTCTGAAATTTCAGGGCAAACTTAAAACACCATCCTGAAATCAGGGTAATCAGGATGTTTTGCCCTGATATCGTGGGCCCTGCCTGGGTTCACTGTTCACGGGCCAACATTGGACCCTACAAAGGAAAGGGTGAGTGCACAGAACAACCCTTTGTGAGAATGGTATATGCCCTACTTCAATTTCGCTTCGACAACTAAGTCACTCGACAGTAGTACCTCTCCCCCAAGCCACCTATCTCAGGAAATCAAATCACCGTCATCACCCGGATATAAGACAGTGTTGAATAGTAGACAGGGGTTGTCTATTATACGGGTGTCTCTTATAAACAGGCTAGCCTCATTATAAGACACCTATTTGTGTGTACGAGATAAGACATATGTGTCTTATAATCGAAACTGCAATATAATATTTTGTGAAAATTGAAGTACCGCGTACATTTTTACCCTTGCGACACGCAAATTCTGCCACGTGCTGTCAAATGTAATTCTATGCTTGTAGGCTACAGTGAGTAGCACAATAGGGAGTACAGTTGTTAGGGTTGCATATTTGTACTTCCACACTTCCTAGTTTGACCATTCCGTTGCATTCCTATTCTAAGATGGTATCACGAGTAGGTTAGATCCTCGTTCGGTCTTAGCTAGCCTCCGCGCCCTACGCGCCCTCCGTGCTCTCGCGCCCTCCGCGCCCTCCGCGCCCTCCGCGCGCCTAGCCCGCGCCCTCCCGCGCTGTCAAGCCCGTCGCGCGCCCTCCTTAGACCACCGCGCGCCCTCTCCCACCGTTACGCGCCCTCCTAAACCGTCGCGCGCCCTCCTTCGACCGTCGCGCGCCCTCCTTAGACCGTCGCGTGCCCTTCCCTCCGCCTGTCGCGCGCCCTCCTCCGTAAATCTTCCTGCACACCTGCGTGCACTTACCGCACACCTGCGTGCGCTCATCGCACACCTGCGTGCGTGCACTTACCGCACACCTGCGTGCCCTTACCGCCCACCTGCGTGCACTTACCGCATCCCTTTGTGCGCTTACTGCATCTCTCTCCCCTTCACCTGTGCCCTGGTCCCACGCCATTCCTACTGCACTTGACTCCCGGCTCAGCGGCTGGCAGCCGCTCTTCCCTCCGGTAGCGCCACCTAGGTTCGGTTAGAGCCCCGCCCCACGACTATTTTCTCGCCGACTGTCTCTCGTCGGTTTCCCCGCTGGCGTCCCTAGCCCTCCGTAGTTTTCCTCCTCGTTCTTAGCTCCGCCTCCGCCGTGCTCCAGTCACCACTAGCATGGGCTCCGCTATGGAGGCCCGTCGCCTCCGTTTCGATGCTGAGGGACGCCCGATCGAGTTCGGTACCTGGCAGCGCCAGACCACACGTTTTCTCACCAGCCAGCGACAGGACGGCGCCACTCTGTGGGCTCACGCGTCTGGTGCCCTACAGGCCCCCCCGTCCCCCGCCGCCCTGCCGACCACCCCGGAGCCGACTCCTACGGCCCAGGCGGAGTACGACCGTCGGGTCCTGGCCAGGGACGTGTGGCTCTCGCGTGACGCTGCCGCCGCTCTCACACTGTCGGAGCTTCTCCCCCCGACTGAGGCCGCCCACTTTGACCAGGTGGAGACATCCCAGGGGGTGTGGGATGCTATTGTTGCCCGCTACTCCACCCCCTCCTCTGCCTCCCTCAGTCGCCTCCTCATGCCGTTTGTGTTTCCCGACCTAGGCTCGTTTGCGACTGTTTCCGACCTAGTGACTCACCTCCGCTCGCTTGACGCCGGTTTCCGTGCTGCCTGTACCGACGCACAGCTCCTTGTTGCTCCCCCCCCCCATGTGGCTCACTGTGCACTGGTTAGCCACCCGCCTCCCTGACCGCCTTGCCACTGCCCACGACGCGCTTCTTCAAAAGCACCCCACTGAGCTCACTATAGACCTCCTTCAGACTGCTCTCGGGACCATCGAGAGCAGCCTCCTCGCCGTTGCCTCCGCCACTGATGCGGTGGCCCCCCCGTCTCTTTGCGGGGTGTGCCGCCCCTCAGCTTCCCACTTTCACCTCTACCCGCGCTTCTGCTGCTGTGTCGGTCTCTGAGGACACCGCTGCCGTTTCTGCCGCAGACTGGCAGAAACGGGGCAAGAGTGGCAAGAAGGGCGGGAAGGGGGGAGGTGGGGGCGGTGGAGGTGGCGGTGGAGGTGGGAGCGGCGGTGGTGGCGGAGGCGGCGGCGGTGGCGGCGGTGGTGCGCCAGGGGGAGGGGGCCTTGGAGGAGGTGCAGGACAGACAGGCCCACCCACAGGTGGTGGCCCGACCGGTGGGGGCGTTGCCCCCCAGCAGCAGCAGCCACAGCAGCACCAGCCACAGCAGGGACAGCAGCAGCAGCAGCAGCAGGGACAGCAGTAGCAGCAGGCACCGCAGCAGTTCCAGCAGTGGGGGCCCCCGCTGCAGTGGGGTCCGCAGCAGCACTGGGGTCCCCCGCCGCAGTGGGGTCCGGGAGGCCCTGGGAGCACCGGCCGCAGCAGCAGCTCTTCCAGCTGGGCCCCTCGTCCCCCTCGCCGTGACGCTGGCCCCTGCACCCACTGGTGCCTCACCGGGCCGGGCAGCCCCTGTCTCTGTGGTCGCGACGACCACTCTGCCGCGCGGTGCTTCCGCCGCCTCGACGACCTCTACCGGGCTCGTTGGGGCCCTCTGGCGGTCACGCCTCGCTGGTCTCGTCTGTTAGCCCGTAAGATTGATGTCTTTGATCTGTCCATGGACGATGCGCGTCAGCATGCTTCGTATGTTGATGCTGACTTTATTGCTGATGGGTCTGTGTGCTCGCGTGTTCGTAGGTTAGCCTGCTTGCCTCCTGCTAGTGTAGCCTTGTGCCTGTCTAGCTTAGGTGCTTGTGTTGCTGCTCTAGGTGCTTGTGTAGCGACTGGGTCAGGTGACCCTCCGGCTGAGGCCTCTCTGTCGTTCACGCTGGACTCGGGCGCGTCTCAGTGCTTCTTCCGCGACCACACGACCCTTACGCCACTCCTCACCCCTGTGTCGGTGGCTCTGGCTGATCCTACCTCTGGATCAGCCGTTGCGCGTAGCTCCACCACCCTCCCGTGCCCTGTGGTCCCCTCTGGTGTCCTGCGTGGCCTCCACATCCCCTCGTTCACTCGGAACTTGGTGGGTGTTGGATACCTCCAGGACAGGGGGATCACGGTTACCTTCGTGGGGGGTGGGCGGACTGCAGTCTGTACTGACGCTACCACAGGTGCTGTTCTGGCCACTTTCACCAGGGAGCCTCGCTCCGGTCTCTACGTTCTCCACACCGAGCGCTCCCCGGTCGCGTCCTCCCCTCAGGTCGTTGCGTCCCCTCCGGCCCAGGTCCCCAGTCCAGTTGCTGTGTCTAGCCAGGTAGTCGTGTCCAGTCCGGTCGCTGTGTCCAGTCCAGTCGCTGCGTCTTGCTCCTGTCGCTCTCTCGCCCACCGCACAGTCCTGTGGCACCACCGCCTTGGCCACCCGTCGATCACTCGCCTTCGTGGCATGCTCAGTCAGGGACTTGTCACAGGTCTCCCACGCACCTTCCCGTCGCTCCCTCCCTCGCTTGCCCCTCCTTGCTCTCCGTGCATCGCCGGTCGCTTACGCGCCACTCCCCACTCCTCCTCCCTTCGTCCGGCCACCGCTCCCTTCGAGACTCTCCACTTGGACGTCTGGGGCCCTGCCCCGACGCAGGGGTCTGGGAGAGAGCGTTACTTTCTGGTGGTCGTCGACGACTACTCCAGGTACACAACAGTGTTCCCTCTTGCGAAGAAGTCCGAGGTGACTGCTACGCTGATCAGGTGGCTTCTAGCCACTGAGGGCACTCGTGGTCGTCGAGTCAGTTGTCTTCACTCCGACCGTGGGGGCGAGTTTCGCT